GACCCGCCCACCTCGCGCATCGCGGTAGCGGCGTATGTCCAGCCCCGCCAGCCGGCCGCGCAGCGTGGACTGGATGAGGGCCCGGGCCGAGGCCTCGTCCCCCGCCACGGCGGCCAGGTGCAAGGGTGTGGACTGGCGCGCGTACTCCGCGCCCGGCGGCGTGCTGTGCGCGGAGGTCAGTGCCACGGCATTAGCCCCGCCGCGCAGAAGCGCGGCCACGGCCGCCGCGCCGCCATGCAGCGCGGCGCAGTGCAGCGGCGCCAGGCCGTGGTCGGCGCGCAGGTCGCGGTAGGCGTGCCGCCCCGCGCAGTCCTCCAGCACCAGGCCGCGGAGGGGGACGCGCCGCCCCGCCGGCCCCCGCGCGGTCACCGCCTCGCTGAGCAGCGCAGCGACGCAGGTGGCCGCGCCGGCGGCGGCCGCGCAGTGCAGGGCCGTCACGCCCGACACACGGTCGGACAGTGCGGCGTCGGCCCCCGCCGCGATGAGCAGGACCGCGCCGGGGTCGAACCCGCGCCCGCAGGCCGTCATCAGCGCGGTGGTGCCGGTGCGGCTGCTGGGCGCGTCCAGCGCTCGCGACAGCAGCGACGGCTGCCGCAGCGAGGCCGCCAGGAGCGGGGACAGGCAGGCGTCCAGGCAGCGCAGGCAGCAGGCGCGGCAGGAGACGTGCAGGGCCGTTCCGCCGGAGTCGGGGTGGCGCGCGGTGACCAGGCGGGCCGGGCTGGGGCTGGACCCCAGGATCTGGGGGTGGAGTGTGTGAGAGTTGCGTTTTGGTTGGGGGGGAGGACTTTGTGCAGGGGAAAGGGGTCCGGGCGATGGGAAGTTACCAATGAGGGCCTGGGCGGCGAAGGTGATGGCCAGGGGAAAGGGGGAGGGAAGCCGAGGCGTTGCGTGACGGCATGCTTCTCGGCGGGGCAGGGTGGGGTGGTGCAATCCTGTACAAGAACAGCCGCACCAGACCCGGGGCAGGGGCAACACATTTACATGTGCACAGGTGGCCGGTCCCACCACAGGGAACCACTACGACATCCCTGCCTCCCACACAACAAACACACACACCTGGTGCACGGTCACACAGTGGCCCTCAGCGATGGCGACGTGGAGGGCGTCCAGGTCCGCCACAGGGACTTCCCTGCCCAGGGCCTGCCCCATCTGTTTGGGAGCCTCGCGCCTTGACCTGGCCGAGGCTGCTCAGGAAGGAGCGAGCACCGTGATGGCCGCCCACGAAACCCTCTCTCCCTCCAGGGTGGTATGCGGAGTTTAGCTGACGCAACCCCGCCGCAAGGGGGCCCACATTGGTCCCGCCATCGGTCTCCTCGTAGCAATAGGGTATTGGAAGCGGCCAAAGCCGAGCGCGCGCTTCGGTATGCAGGGCTGGGCGCGGGTGTCTTCGAGAACTGCTCCCGTCACATACCGTCACCGACCCTGGCAACGGAAACAAACCCAACCAGAGACCGTTACGGACAAGGCTCGAGATGGAGGCGGTCCCAAACTTTTACTATGCAAAAGAACGCGGTCGATATGTCTGGAGGTCGCTGCGGAGGACTATGGCTCGATTTCCGCGTCTACGCGAGTCGTGCTCATATTCATGTCGGGGGTAGATGTCCGAAACCATCCCCTGATTAGAAAAGATGTCAGGTCGACATCGGGAATAGGGCAATACCAGAAGTGACACACACCTTTTTTGTTTTTATAGAAGAAGTTTCAATTTGGGTCTGGATACAATTCAGGAGCCCCTGCCTCTTCTCGGCTTTGCCAACAAGCCTCCATCAGAACGCAGGCATCATTTGAAGTTGTGCCCATTCACAAACATATCACTGAGACATCCACCTGATGCGCCAAACCCTGGTTGCTTTTGCTGGCCATCCTTCTATGGAAGCAAAGCATTGTCATTGTCTTGTCACTGAATAATGCCCTCAGCCAACAGTGAGCGTGTGCCAACCATGTAATTGCAAAATCAGAAGTCTCATAAATAAGTGTAAAGATTCCACTTACCTCCGAAATCTCTTGTTGTACAGGTGAGGTTTATGGGAGTTTCCTCTTGCCCCATCACCCAGTGGGCAGGGCGCGAAGACTGAGTCGGAGCTCGTGTTCGAATACCTCTTCGATCAGATCCCTGATACTCCCATTGAGCCCAATACACCCATGATGGCTACATGCTGAGCACTTCCTGCTTCGCAGAGGGTGTGGATGTCGGGCGAGGATTGGACCTCTGCTCTGGCTGCCGGTCTGCAGGCGACGCATGCACGCCTGAACTCGCCGGCGACCAGCTGGATCTTGTGGCACGGATGTATCCCTTGCACTATCCTCGGAAGTCTCTGGCTGCTGTCTGCACTGCGCCGATACCAGGAGCTGCGTCGGCATTTGCGGAGTGGGACACCAATTACAGCGGTGATCCAGGTGGAGCAGGAATGTTGACGCCCGTGATGTCAGCCGTCCTCGCAACCGCCACTCAGCCCCTCTCACCCCTTGTAGCAGGATCTCCCCAAGACATGGCCATCGGTGGCCATCGTCACTCCCATTCGAGGATGTCGGGAACACAGCTCGCTGAATCTCGACTCCATCCTCAGCCAGGAGTATGGTGGGTTGAGGCACTCTGCTTGCTCCCAGACGCATTCAAGAAACGAGTTTGACAAGGTGTTTGGCGGTGTCCAGCTCATAATGAACATCCCTCCCTCGCTTCACATGCAAGCAGAGGGAGAGTATGAGTGCATCTTTGTCACCGACAGCGAGGAGGACCCTGCCGTGCCCCTCCTGCACTCTCTCATCGCTGCACAGAAGAAGGCGACAGGCCGCGCTGCACGCATCCTCTTCTCCGGTCAGGCGCAGAAGACCAGCCAGAAGATCCACAAGTGCGTCCTAGTGCTAGCTGGCGTGCAGGGCATGGGGCTGGATCTTTGTGAGGGACCAACCCCGTCTCCGCACAGCAGCTGACACCAGGATTCTTACCTCATTGCCTCCAGTGGCTCAAACACTCCACCTCGCCTGGGCAAACGGCCCTTCTCGCCCCTCGACGTGCCCCTCCACCCCATACCATGCCGTCCACTTCACGCAGTCTGCTGGCCGGGATCGAGGCGGGCATGGGGACCAGCGACTACACGCTCTGCCTGGATGACGACGTGCAGCTCCCCCCCCGCCTGCTGACCTGGCTGGTCCGCGACCTTGCCTCCGAGCCCGGGGCCTTCATGGCGACAGGGTACCCCTTTGACATCCCACCCGCCCGACCCTCCCTCCTCTCCTACGCCGTGCTGTCCTACCACCTCCCCCTCGTCATCGGCTTCTCCCTGTCCCGGAAGACCAGCTTCGTCTGGGGCGGCTGCATGCTCTTCAGGTCGCCGGCCTTGCGCTCCGATTCAGCCGGCCTCCTGGAGGTGAGGCGGGATATGAGAAGGAAGAAGGCGTGCTGGGATGAGGCCCTGAGGTGGACTGTAAGAGAGGCTAGACACGGGTGCTGGAGGTTGCCTCCTGGACCCCGGCTCCATGTACACGCCCCCTTGCCTTCCCAGTCAGCCCGCAACTCCCTCACGTCCCCGACCACCCCTCCACCGGCGGCAGCCTCCACCAGCCGCATTTCTCCTCCCTCCACCCCAGTCTCCCACGGCCACCACTCCCCACATCTTTGCAGGCCTGGCGGGATGGCGGCTACTCCGACGACCTCATCACCGCTTCACTCTGCAACGAGCGCGGGCTGGGCGTCATCTGCCCGCCCTACGCCGTCTTCCCGCAGCGCATGCCCACCCGCTGCGGCGGCGCCGGCGCGTGGTGGAACTACCTCCGTCGCCAGCTGGTCGTCCTGGACACCTACGCCTCGCCCGCCAATCGCCGCACCAATGCCGCGCTGGCCGCCGCCCACTGCTACTGGTCTTGGGCCCTGGTGGCGCCGGCGGCGCTGTTGGCCGCGCGTGCGGCCTGCTGTGGCGCGCTGGGCGTGCAGCGCCTCGCAACCGGCACCGCATTACCCATCGCCGCCCCCGTGCTGCCCACGCTGGCCGCGCTGGCGCTGGCGGTTTCCTGGGCGTATGCCGGGCTAGGCCTGGGGGCCATGACGGCTCGGACCCTGTCGCTGTGCGAGGCGCTCAACCCGCGCCTGGCCCCTGGGGGGCTGTTTCCGGTCTTCTCCTGGGGCCACGTGGCCGCGGGCGTGCTGCTCAACAATGCGGCCGTGCCGGTGTGCATGGCGCTCACCTTCTGCACCTCCCACGTCACCTGGGCCGGCATCCGGTATCGGAGGAAAGGGGGGCGCGTCGTGGCGGTGGAGCACCCAGCGCCGGCGCCGGCGGGCGGGCCTACGCGGCGCGGCGGCGGGCACGGTTGCCGGCCGACCGGACGCGGCGGTCGCGAGGGCAAACGGAGGGAGGCGCGTGGTGCAGCACAGCAGGATGACTGCGATGCGCGGTGAAGGGTCGTGAGGATCGATGGGGCACCACCCAAGGCTCCGGGGCACCATGCCTCACAATGAGGGCACTCCCTTCGACGCCAATCGACCCGTCGCATCCCTTGAGCCCCACTGCTGACACAGGCTGTGGGGCCTTCCCGGGGGGACAAGGGGGACAAATGTTACACAGGACACGGGCAAGGTGACATAGGGTCAAGGAGGGGTGGCAACCACCCAGACAAGGGCGATGGAAGGAAAAAGGGGCTTCCTGAGGGAACCCCAAAGGAACGCCGAGCCGGGCAAGGAAAGGGCGGGCTGCACATGGGGCTATGATCAAAATTGGACAAGTTGGGAGCTGCCTGCAGTGCGGGATCGAGTGCAGGAGCGCATGCATGCAAGGCCTGCGTAGAATGAAAGGGATCCAAGAACAGCCTGCCCTGCCTGCACAGGAGGGGGACCGTGCGAGTGGCAATCACATCGCCCCCAGCAGGGCAGCACCAGCCTCACGGCTCCCCATGTGGCACCCTGATACAGCGCTCAGAACAGCGCGCCGATGGCGTCCTGGGTGCGGCGCGGCGCGCCCCCCCCCTCCGCCGCTGCCCGCCAGCTGGCGTAGTCGCGCTCCATGAGCGCCAGGAAGTTTGGGAGCAGGGCCTGGAGGACGGCCTGGATGGCCAGCCGCCCGGCCAGCGCCAGCAGGCGGTCCGGCACCGCCTGCAGCGGCGCGGGGACCTCCAGCTCGGCGCTGACTCGCACGGCGCAGCGCAGCGTGTCGGTCGCCGCGGCGGCCTGGCTTGCGCCCCGGCCCCGGCCACGTACCCAGCGGCGCAGGCGCCGGATGGGGCGCCCGGGGATGCTCCAGGAAGCGGCGGGCGCGGGGGCCGTCGTCGCGCCGCCGCCGCCACGGCGGCCGGCGTCCAGCCCCGCGCGGCCGCGAGCGCCCTCCTCCGCGCGCGCACCGCCGGAGGACAGCGTGGCGGCGACGCGCACGCGCAGCGCGTCGTCCACGGCGGGGACGCCCAGGCCCATGCAGCTTCCGTCCAGCTTCACGCTGCCCCGAGCGGGGTCAGGCGTGGCAACGATGAGCATCTGGGGGGTCAGGTCCAGGCCCAGCAGGCCCAGTAGGGGCACCCGGAGCCACCAGCCGCCGCGGGACTCGTCCCAGCTGACCCAGTCTGGGTCCAGGAGCGCGTACTCCGACACAGGGAGGGCTAGATAGGCGTCCAGGCTGGGGGTGTGGGCCCTCACCGCGGCGTCGGAGGAGGGAGGGTGGGGGGAGGGGGGGTGCTCCGGGTCGTGGCTGGCCAGGGCCAGCTCCGAGGTGAAGGAGGAGCCGAAGGAGAGGCGACGCCGTGGCTGGGCGGGCGACGGGTGCTCATTCCCACCGCCGCCGTCTGTCCTCGATATGGCGTGGTTGATGGCCTGCGTGAAAGCGAGGTTGCGTGCCGGCTCAGGGGCAGCTGCTGGAGGGCGGGGGGGACAATGTACTACAAGCCGACGAGGGTGTAGGCAGCCCGGAATGAGGGGTGGCGCGGGCGGCATGCGTGTAGCAGGCTCATCGCCACCCTCGCTTCCGGTCCCCACCTGCACTAGCCCATCCAGGAGCTCCACATGGTTATAGCCTATGGAGGCGGGCGGGTGTGCCAGCCGAAGCCGGGCCTTGCATGGTCTCGTCGAAGGTAGGTGCACCAAGGTCGGCACAGCGGGAGCGGCCCTGAGACCCGTGCACGTCATGAGAGGTGCCATGCATGCATGGTATTGTCGCCTTTGGCGCTTTGATTGGATTAGTGTCGGATCCGAGTGGCTTGTTCCCTGTGTTTATGCGCCGAATCCCCTCCGTGTCGCACGTGGGCAATGGGAGGCCAGGCCAGTTTCCCCAGGCAAATCATGGGACCGAGCCTGGTCACACACCTACTGCCTCGACCGGAGAACACCAGAATGCACCCACTGCCGTGCTCCTATTGGGATTTGAGTTTCTTATTCATCGTGCATCGCAGGAGTTTTGTGGCGAAGGGGCACAGGAAAGAAGCTATCGATGTGAGGCTTCAGACCCTGGCGGCGCCGGTCGGTGCTGAGTGTGTCCCTTGCAGGCACCAGCCGTGGCCCCCGCTGGCAGGCGCCCGCTCGCAGCCTCAGCGCTCCCCTCGCGCCCGTTTCAGCTCCTGCTCCATCTCCCGCCGCACGCGGTCTGAGCCTTCAGGCAGCGGCCAGAGCGGCCGCACCCGCTTCATCAACGCCTTGTGCACCTCGATGTACTGCTCGGTACTGTCGAAGAGGCGCTGGGCCCTCGCGGCACGCATCTCCGCTTTCACCGCGTCGTACATGGGCCCCCCCCTCTCCCTTCTCCTCCCGGGCGAGGAGAGGGCGCTGCTCACGCAGGGACTGCCTGATGAAGGGGATGCCAGCGCCGGCGTGGTTGTTGCCATGGCAGATACAGCCCCGACCATCGACTGGACCAGTGGGCGTCGGCGGGGCGTGGCGGGCGGCGTGGCCTCAGCGTGCCACGTCCCCTCCCGCCTGCCGCCGCCCGCTGCGTCGCGCCGGCCGCCGCTGGCTGTCGCCATTCCATCCAAATGCACGCCAGGGTTGCAGCCCGCTGACTCCGCCGCACTGGCTCGCCGCTGGCGCGGGGGGCTGCCACCGTGCGGGTTGAGGTGGCGCGACCCCGGCGAGGCTCCGGCGCCATCTCGCCCCCTGGTACCCGCCTGCATGGTGGAGCCAGCGGCCGGGGCCCCTCGCACAGGTCCCGACGGCCGCGGGGCCGCGGCCAGAGCTCCGCTGCCGGCGCGCTGGCGCCAGGCAGCGCCATGCGTGCGCGCCCGCCCCGCATCGCCGCCGACCCCCGCCACGAGGAGCGCGTTCTGGCGCACGGCGCCCACGGTGCGGCCGGAGCCGCGCGGCGACGCCGCAGGCGGCACGCCCGCGCCGGGGGGCGTGCCGTGGGGACTCTGGAAATACGGGCTGCGTCCGGGCACGATGGTGGCGGGGCGGGCGCCGGAACTGGGTCTGGCCGGCGCTGGCTGATCCCGCCCACCGCTGACACGTGAGGGCCCGGGCGCCGCATCGGGGGAGTACAGCAGGTCCACCACCTCTGCGGCCGGACATGTAACGTCCGGCCGCTGCGACGGCGTGGGTGTGACACTCGTCCCGCAACTGCCGCCACCCCCGCCGAGCAGCTCCGCAAAGGTGATGCGATTGGCGCGCAGGTCGTCCCAGCGCTCTGCGATCGCCTGCGCGCGTGAGTGCATGGTCGTGGGCGGGGCCGGGCGGGGGGAGCCCACGCGCCGCGCCGCCTGCATGGCCTGCAGCCGCGCCTGCAGCGGCAGGTCCTCCTCGCTGCTGCTGCCGCTGCTGCTGGGCCTCTCGGCCGCAGCGCGGGCGGGCGGCCGCGCGGCGCGGGCGCCAGACCGCGTGGGGCGGGCGCCAGACCGCGCGGGGCGGGCCGCCGCGGCCGACCGTGTTCTGCGCCCCGCCGCCACAGCTGCCTCGCCTCTCCGCCCACCGGCACCATTCGTACTCCCCTCGTCCTCTCCTGCGCTGCTGCTGCTGCTGCTGGTGGCACCGGGCTCACTGTCGCTGACCACAAAGCCCCGGAGCCTCTCCCCTGCCGGGCCGGGGCGCCGCCGCCCCGCGCCGCCGCGCGAGCCAAGCTCCCCTGCCCGCACCAGCCGCCGGCGGGGCCGCGACGCGGCCTGGGAGTCGCGCAGCGAGGCGGGGACGGCGCGGGCGGGCGCGGCGGGCGCCGTGCGGGCCCTGCCGGCGGTGCAGTTGGGGCAGAACCACTGGCCCTCCGGGATGCCCGGGAGGCCGATGCAGTAGGTGTGCCACGCGCAGTCACAGCCTGGGTCGGGGGTGGGGGGGGGCAGGGTAGCGGGGCTTGAGGCTGAGGTAGATAACAGGGTGGCACGGGGAACAGAGCCACCCTGTCCCCGTCTCATGCACAGGGACTGGAAGCCACCCGGCATCACCTTTGTGGCGTGTACGCCCCTCACCCCACAACCTGCTCCACTGCCCTTCAAGCAGACCGGCAACACAATCAGACTCAGCTAGCAGTGCCTCACCATCGCAGAGGAGGAGCTGGTCCTCGTCCTCGCCACCCCCGCAGTCCTGGCAATGCAAGCCGTCGATCCACGTCTGGAAGCTGGGATCCTCGAAGACCGCCCTCTAGCAAGGGGTGCAGCGCAGGGAGATGGGTTTGCTCGGTGACTTGGCACAGCGTAGGCACACCAACCATGCACAGATGTCCGCAGCCGGGACGCAGCAGGAGGTAGAGTGCCGGTGCCACCGTCCAAGCAGGCAGCCTCCCAGATGTGCTCCACCCTCGTCACGAACCTGGTTTTGCTCCGGTACCACGATGGTGTCCACGACCTTCCCAGCCGAAGACCGTCCCGCAAGCTTCCTGGACCTGGGACTCGCCAGAAGCTTCCGGCGTATTTGCTTGAAGCGCTCCTTGCACAGTGGGCAACGGCTCTCGATGCCGGCCCACTGGGAGATGCAGGCGAAGCAGAACCTGCGCGAGATAGAAAACTAGATGAGATGGCTGCCATATAACGTTTCGGATGCATACTACACAGCTCCCCCAGCTTACACATGGGCGCAGCAGTCGAGCTCCCCCGTCTCCTGGAGATCACTTTCGAAGCAGATACTGCAGCATAGCTCCTCCATGCCTCGACACTGAGTCGCCTACATTATGGTATATATACACTTATCATGTGGACACCCTGCGCTCACGGGGTGCTCAACAGGTCGCGCGTCTCGCTCTGCGACTTCGACTTTGGCGCGCTGGAAAGTTGCATTTCATACTGCAGGCGCCGCCTGGAGTCCGGGACAGTCATTTCATGTACTATCGGTCAGTGGACAAGGATGAAGATAAGGTGCCCTCCTAGTCGTCAGATACGACTGTGGCGACAGGGGACAGATTTATGCGCGGCACACGGCTCCTACTGTTCACGGAAGGTCCCCCCCTCCTCGTCATGTCCAACGGAGGAACCGGGGGTAGCCTGGAAGCATGCCTCCTGGGGCTGGCTGCTGCAGCCACAGCACCGTTGGCAGAGCTCTGGGCCCCGCCATCGGCGCTGGCGGCGTCTCGAGGTACCGTCGGCGGCGTCCCCCGCGCATGCTTCCTCTGCCGCTCGTTGGGGGAGGGGTCTTCCTCGGACCTCTCGTCACGGGGCGTCTTGCGAGCCGACCGGGGACTGGCATCGCTGTCATCTGCGGTGCTACTCCGAGCGGTCTGTGACCGAGCAAAAAGCTGTGTGCAGTGTGGGAAGGGGTTGTGCGAGGGAAAGCAAGTATGTGGCAGGATCTTGCGGGAGGAGATGCAGGTAAGTGGAGAGGCTATGGGAGGAAGGATTTACGGGAGGGATGCTTGTGCAAGGAAACAAATGTGGGAACAAGGAACTTGAGAGGAGAGGTGGGCGGTCCATGGGCTGCGCAAAGAAGATGCTTGGTTGTATGCATCCCCTCCTGGGCATGCGCGACAGGACTGCTGGTGCAGGCAGTGCTTCAAGCATGCAGGGGATGGTGACAGGGTTTGTTCCGGACCATACACAGCGGGGTGGAAATAAGGTGTACATCCCCGTAACAAAACCTTGGTCTGATCACCTCCACAGCCACCCACCTCATAGTCCTTGTCGTACGCGGGAATCTCACACACGGCAGCTGCCCTCCAGCTGCCGGACGCCTCTGGCCCATCCTCGCCAGTGGAGCTGGAGAGCATTGCTTTGAGCGCCGTCCAGAACTCCTCGCTCTCCTTCCCATCCCTTTGCAGCAAAGCGGGCGCTGGTGCAGCCTCATACCGCTCCAGTTGCGCTGCAAAGGTGGTGGCCGCCGCAGCAAACCCCTCTGGACATGCCTTGCCCTGCCAAGCGCACACGGGAGTGGAGCTGTGAGCGCAAGGACATGGGTATCCTTGCGTTTCCTTCTGCTGGGTCTGGATGCAGGTAGGCACCACCAGAAACTGAGAACACAGCAAAGCGCCCATGCCACGACACAGCACCGCACAGCACTACGCACCAGCCAGAGGAACAGCGCCGTGCTGGTGTGCAGTACAAAGGAGCCCCGTGGGTCGAGGCCGGCGGACCCAAGGATCTTTGCAGACCGTGGTACCAGGTACTGCGGGGCTGCGGGCGACTGGGGAGCCAGTCGGTACAGGCGCTCGGCCCCGGGGCCAGTGGTGCGCCTTTTCTGCCATTGCAGCAGCTGCGGTGGCATGGGGGTGACCAGGCGGAGGAGTGTTGGTACGTGGGTGTAGCGGCGCACAGCCCAGAGGGGATGGAGGGCAGCGCGTGAAGTTCTTGGGAGCAGTCTGTCAAACTCATCCCCTGCACCTCACGCACCTGGCAAACGAAGCCGATGTTTGGGTTGGCGATGCCGCGTGCAGCCTTCACGGAGGCAAACACCTCTTCGTACGGCCGGCCCTCCCTCCACATGAGGTATGCGATGGTGAGGCTCACTGAGCGTGACACGCCCTGTGAGCAGTGGAGCAGCACGCGGCCGGCGGGGTCGGCGCCATGCCCCACCGCGGCCTGGATGAAGTCGAAGACGTCGTACAGGATGCAGGTGATGTCCTCCGCGGGGGTGTCCTGGAGGTAGAGCGTCCGGTACTCCAGCTCCGGAGAGAAGTAGGCGGGGTACAGGAAGCCCACGCAATTGATCACGTGTGTGATGCCCGCCTCTCGCAGCGATTCGCGATTCCGGGCGACGCACTCCGCTCCCACGAACAGGCCGTGGCCCACGGGGGAGCACTGGCGCTCGAAGTAGGCGAGCTTGTCCTTGCGCGCCCGGAGCTCGGTGGGTGGGGACTCCACCCGAGGCAGAGTTCCCAGGTCCAGCACTCGCAGGCCGGGGCGTCCTATCGCGGTACTTTTCAGTGGAGAGGAAGGTGCAGATGAGCAGCTGGTGCCGGGGGCGGTGTCCTCGCCCGTACTCCAAAATCTGTCGCGCACGAGAGGGAAGTCGCACCCCGCCAGCATCGCAGGGCGGGCTCCTGAAGGGTACCTCTGATCAAAATTTGAGGTTATGGATGTACACCAAGGACCTCCCGAGGCACTCGGGGGTATTGTTCTTGGCAAGGTCGGTGCTGCTCTCAACTTTTCTCAGTTCGAGTCAATGTCGGCGTTTCCTCCGCTCCCCATGGTGTCAAAGGGGTGGGGAGATGTGATCTCCTCGAAATCAACCATCCAAGGGGACATATGCTTCGCACGAGTCGAAGATATGTCGCTACCGGGCTTGCGCCGGTTGCACAGCTGCTTCCCGCAAGCGGGATCTGACTGGCGCAGTTGGTTGCCTCGATCGGCGAACCAGAGGGGGTGGGGGGGGTGGGAGGAAAGGAAGGGGAAGCAGGGGGTCCACCAAATGCAGTGGGACGAAGTGCATTCTCAAAAAAGCACTTGGTCAGCATCAGGATGTTGGCTGCTCCGTTGACGTCGCGGTTGACGACGTTGACCTTGCAGGCCTTGTTGGCGCACCGCTTGGTGTCGCACACGTCCACCAGCTTCTCCTCGCCTCGGCGGACCCGCACGTACTGGTGGGCGTGCAGGGTGGCGTGACAGGCGCAACACAGCTTTGATGACCTGTGCTCGTCAACCACCACCACCCTGCACACCCGCCGCAGGCGCCGCAAGAAGCGGATCCAAGGCCCCGGCGGGGGCCCCCGCATGATGCCCCCCCGGTCCTGGGCCGACCAGTTGCCCACGCCGACAATTGTAGTCATGCCGGGGGGAGCGCGGAACTGCTCCGCCAGCCGGGT